TATTTGAGGAAACTTAAATCTAAACTACTTGAGGCTGCTTCCATATAAATATGATGAATTATGACTTTGCTATTCTTGAGAAGAAGATTTTTAAAAGAATTTTCCTATATATTTCTATGTAAAACTTTGGTCGGCTATTATGGCCCCTCCCTACCCCCGGGGGTCATGAATTGTACAAACTTGAATCTACACTACCTGAGCACGCTTCCATTTAAATATGTTGGCATTGTCATGCTTGAGAAGAAGATTTTTAAAGAATTTTCCTATATATTTCTATGTAAAACTTTGGTCGACCATTTTGGCCCCGCCCTACCCCCGGGGGTCATGATTTGAACAAACTTGAATCTACACTACCTAAACATGCTTCCATATAAATTTGATGAATTATGGCTTTGTCATTCTTGAGAAGAAGATTTTTAAAGAATTTTCCTATATATTTCTATGTTAAACTTTGGTCGGCCATTTTGGCCCCGCCCTACCCCCGGGGGTCATGATTTGAACAAACTTGAATCTACACTACCTGAGGATGCTTCCATATAAATATGATGAATTATGGCATTGTCATTCTTGAGAAGAAGATTTTTAAAGAATTTTCCTATATATTTCTATGTTAAACTTTGGTCGGCCATTTTGGCCCCGCCCTACCCCCGGGGGTCATCATTTGAACAAACTTGAATCTACACTACCCCAGGATGTTACCCCATAAGTTTCATCTTTCCTGGCACAGTGGTTCTTCAGAAGAAGATTTTTAAAACATGCCACCAAATTTTCATTAATTCCCAATTATCTCCCCTTGAATGAGGGCGTGGCCCTTCATTTGAAGAAACTTGAATCCTCTTTACCCAAGGATGCTTTGTGGCAAGTTTGGTTGAAATTGGCCCAGTGGTTCTTGAGAAGAAGTCGAAAATGTGAAAAGTTTACAGACAGACAGACGGACGCCGGACAAAATGTGATCAGAAAAGCTCACTTGAGCCTTCGGGGCAGGTGAGCTAAAAATACCTAAAACTGCATGATAATACAAATGCTTGCATGAAAAACTCCATTATTAAATTTTAAATTACAGGTCTATGTTGCTATGTGTGAGGGTGTGTGTGTCTGTTTGTGTTTAGAGGGGGGGTTATTAATCTCACCTTTTGTTGTCATCATTCAAATTTGAGAAGGGGGGTCAACAATTTACTAAAATCTGAAGAGAGGGGCTGGCAAATTTTGTAAAGTTAGATTAATGAGTTTCATGCCCCTTGCAGAACAGAATATTGACTTCCAAAAGTGTATATGGTTTGAGACAGAATATTTCTTGTCTATGTTGGATGAAGTTGACAAACCAAAAATTTAATAAGTAATCCAGAACCCATAAAATCTGTTTTGTTAGGGGGTATCATTCATCAAGGTCCTTTATTATTTATTTACTTCCCAGTGGGGGGGGGGGGGGAGTATTAGTCTCCTGCTTTTAAGAATCAAATGGTTAAAAAAAATTCTCTCTTAATCTTAATCTTTTCACATATCCTGTCACTCAGAGGATGACATAATATAGCTTCAATTCTTTAACAAATTTCAGGATCATGGAAAATTTACAAGAAACTTCCATGGAACAATCTCTGTCTCTGCAGGAGATCGTAAAAAAATCTTCCTTGTACCATTCCGTCATGCAGTGTTGGAAAGGAAATAAAAAAATATTTAAAAAAATAACTGTGAAACGTAGGAGATGCCAACATAATTGGACGGAAAAACAGATAACTTACTATGGGATATCTTTCAGGAAGAATTCTCAAAGAGAAAAAAAAATAGTGACATATACCTACTGTGTCTAAGGACTTTTTTGCAATAGAAATCAACCCTGACCGGATTAAACTAGGATACATTTCCAAATTTGAAAATAAATTTGAAATTTTCTTTTAGGTTATTATCTATAGTGATCATTGCTTTTCACAGAACAATATGGCCAGTAGAAATTGGCATAAAGAGTAACTTGTTTGAATTAAATGAGAAGTCTATTGAATCAGTATTTACTGTTATTAAACAATTAAGACTTTGTGCAGGTGTTTCTCTATCAGCTTCCTGTGAATCCAAGTGTCCTGACAAGGTTCTTCAGGAAATGTCTCAAAATGGTATAACTTACCGTTCTTTGGACTGTAAGAGAGTTTTAAGTTTTAAAAGTCGTTCTGGCCAACAGTCCTGTCGCCCTTGTATGTGTCTTCTGGAATATGATGGAGCCCAAAGCACATTCCTCTCTGATAAGACAAATACTGCAGTAGATAATAATGCTAAGCCTCTACCTGAAGAAAATAAAGAAACAAACAATAGCAAATCATCATGTGAAACAGTCACAGTTATTGCCGAAAACATTGAAACTAAAGCATCTACATCAGATATTGTAACACTTTGTCCAGAAGATGCCAAAGACCTAAATACTATTTTAGGAATAGTGACAAAAGAGTGCCGCCCTGAAATGGTAGAATTTTTAAAGTCCCAACAGAATGCTCTTCAAAAATCAAAGTATGCCAACCGGTGGTCAAAATCTATGATCAAAACTTTCCTTACCTTGTGGAGTCGAAGCCCAAGAGCATAATTATGTAGATCTTAAGAGTATAGTGGTTTCATGATTCTACGCTCGCAGAGACAGCTACAGTTCTACAAAAATAAGGTCCATCAGAAAGCAGGTGTCAATACAGATCTCCTTCACTGGATGATAAATGAGGCAGTCCAGAAGAATATTCCTCCGGAGGGCTATGAAGGCGGTCTTTGTCTTGATGAAATGTCCATTCAAAATTATTTGCAATCATTATTTTACTGTAAAAATGGGGAATACTATATCACATCTTCATTTACAGACATCTCTGAAGAAACAAATCTAATGGAACAAATTAAGTCAGGGAAGCATGAACTGAAACTAAGCACCCATGTTTTGCAGTTTGTTTCTTAAGATTTACAGGATTCCGCGCTTCCCACTTTTCCATTATCCGACGACTCAAGCCTCTGCATGTGATTTATATTTTAAATTTTGGAAAATTGTTGATATGCTCAACATTTTTGGATTCTTTGTCAAATATATAAGCCTAGATGGTGCAGAGACAAATCGAGATCTAGGGAAAATTTTGATGGGAGACTTCAATTCATCATCAACAACCATGAAAATTTGAAACATCTTTACTCCCTCCCCTAATGAAATTTTCTTCATAATGGATTATTCCCATGTAATTAAAAAAGGTCCAGACAGCGCTCATAACATCGGCTAAAAAAGCAAAAGTGAACAAAGTTTACGGGGGGGGGGGGTTGAAATATAACCCCCCAGGTGTTTTAAACAAACTAGAAAAACACTAATCATGGCTTTGAAGTACTTGAAAAAGAAGATTTTGAAAGGTTTCCCTATATATCCCTATGTAAAACTTTGGTCGGCCATTTTGGCCCCACCCTAGCCCCAGGGGTCATGATTTGAACAAACTTGAATCTACACTACCTGAGGATGATTTCACATGAGTTTAATCTTTCCTGGCCCAGTGGTTCTTGAGAAGAAGATTTTTAAAGATTTTTCCTATATATTCCTATGTTAAACTTTGATCGGCCATTTTGGCCCCACCCTAGCCCCGGGGGGTCATGATTTGAACAAACCTGAATCTACACTACCTGAGGATGATTTCACATGAGTTTAATCTTTCCTGTCATAATGGTTCTTGAGAAGAAGATTTTTAAAGATTTTTCCTATATATTCCTATGTAAAACTTTGGTCGGCCATTTTGGCTCCACGGGGTCATGATTTGAACAAACTTGAATCTACACTACCTGAGGATGATTCCACATGAGTTTCATCTTTCCTGGCCCAGTGGTTCTTGAGAAGAAGATTTTTTTAAAATGCCATTAATTTTTCTCTAATTCATAATTATATCCCCTTGGAAAAGGGCGTGGCCCTTCATTTGAACAAACTTGAATTCCCTTTACCCAAGGATACTTTGTGGCAAGTTTGGTTGAAATTGGCCCAAGTTCTTGAGAAGATGAAAATGTGAAAAGTTAACGCCAACAACGACGACGACGACAGACAACGGACAAATTTTGATCAGAAAAGCTCACTTGAGCCTTCGGCTCAGGTGAGCTAAAAAAGTGTTTCCAAGAAAAACCTTTCCTGTAATGGACATTTCATTCACTGGAATCACCTGTATTCTGCACGTGTGTGGGATGTTTCACACAATCCTTTCCCAGTGCACAGAAAACTGACGCATGATCATTTCTTCCTCACCAGTGAGGCCAAAATGAGAAATCATTTAGCAGAAGAAGTTTTGAACAAGGAGATGCTACATCTCATGCTTATATATTCAGAAACTCTTGATGATAAAACTTACCTTTGCAGTACAATAGAGCTACTTCAGCACACCAGTTCCTTAATCTCAAATTTCAGAGACCCAAGAAGAGAACATGGCAGCATTACAATGGTTTCAGAAGTTGGAGAAGTCAGTCGAAGAAAGACCAGACAAAGATAAATGTTTAATGTCACACCAAACAAGAGCTGATCTGACATCAGTGACCACTAATCAATAGATTCAATGAACTGTGTTTATCTAAATTAAAACAATCATCTGCATCTATCATTCCTAACAGAATTAATTCAGATGTGATTGAAAATGTTTTTTTGCCAGCAGCGTGGCCTTCACAATGGTAACAATACAAACCCAAATTACTTTACATACTGTCGCACAATGAATGCTGTAATCCTTGGACAGCCCACGGTATCAAGAAAGTCCAATGCTGGCATGAGGGAAGGTGCTGCTCCTTTCGCCAAGTAACATTTTCAGGTATGGGCAAAATGTATCACATAAATAATTTAATATTTCTTGGAAAGTGATGCATGGGTATGTCAAATCCTTTAAAAGTTTCAAATCACAAAGATTTTTGATTTATAACTGAACTGTCCATAACATATATTGTACATTGTTCAAGTTTTCAGATTATCATTTAAAAGCACATATACATATATAAATATGTATGGAATTCTAGAATACATGAAATAAGTTTTAATCACTGGTGACTGACTCTGAGCAGTCTGGGCAGAACCACATATCAGATGATATTGTCTCTAGGTCTGGCAGATCAACACATCTTCCATGGAACCATGTGTCGCACCCATCACAAGCGACACAATCTTCCACACACTCCTTTGAGCACTCACCACACGGATACTTCACTTTCTTTGCACACTTGCTCTTCCCTTTGCCTTTTCCTGGTAAAGGTCTTTTTCTCTTCTGACGAGCAGGAGTTTCCTGTTCTGTTGATGTTCCTGGCATCTCTGTTTGAGGGGTAATGGAACTGTCCACAGAACCGCTAGTCCCTGGATTTGAACTTTCTAAGTCTTGGATAGTTTCCGTGGTGAAGATGTTAGGACTTGGCATGTTTTCAGAACAAATAATCTTTCTCATCAGATTTTTCAATATTTCAGATTTCCTAACATTCTTTGGAATGGATATGTCATATGCTGTACAAAGCACTAGTAACCTTGTTTTTGTTGAACAACTTTTCCAGGTATTTTGCATCTCTGTTCACTTCACTTTTCAATCTTAAATGTGATACAATTCTGTTCTGGGATGTATTTTTTCTTATGAAATTAAGGTTATCCGATCCTCAGGTTCTGAAAATCAGGCATTGATTCATTGAAAATGCTCACAAAGATGTCTCTAAATTCTCAAATTAAAATGTATTTACCCACAGTGTTTCTTTAAAATTCATCTTTAAATTTAATCATATTATATAAGGAAAATTAGTAAATCTCGAATGATTTTTCAGGAAATGCGATTTGAACTACCTGTTGCATATTTTTTAATTGACAATTGATCAAGAAATACATTTTAGGAAAAAAAATCTCTATCCAGGCTTTTACTTTTGCATGAATTTTACAGTTATTTGGACTTTACACTTACTTCCATTGTTTCATAATGCATAGTGTATGAAGTGTTTCCTTTCAAAGAAAACACTGTAAATCACTTCTAATTTCAAATCATGCATATAAACATCGGTAGCTAAGGCTAAATCAAAAGAAATTTGATTTTTTTAAAATATGCAAGTTTTACTTCATTTATTGAGATACAAATGTCAACTTTTTAAATACCGTTTGTTAAAACTTTAAAGAGCATTGAATCATACGTAGAGGCATAACATGAAAATTGTTGCATAAAAAAAATTTCAATTTCAAGCCATATTTTAATACTTTTTGAATTAAATTATAAATTAAAGAGTTATCCTCCCTGGCTGAGGATCGTATATCCTTAAAGTCAAACTTAAGTTGACATTTTTTTTTCTTTTTTCTTTCTTTTCAACAACCTTTTTACGTAGTGCTTTTCCCTTTTCTATTTTGAGAGTACGTAAGAAATCTTTACAAAACTGAGAGATTGATACTTTCACAAATAAAGAAACTGCACTGTGAAAAAGTTCTTTTGCACCTTTACATGTATCACATGTTTGACACAATTCTGGATTTCCTGAAGTTTCATGCCCTCTTTCTATATCCTTTTCAAATAGAGTTGCAAATGACTTTAACAGGTTTTCATCAGATTGTACTTTGTTTTCTACAGCACTGAAGAATTTTGACTTTAAGTCAACTAAGGATTTGTCTGTCAAGTGACTTCTAGTCTGCATTTCTAACTGTGTGAAGAAGTTTGATGCTTCATCTGTGACATTCATAAGTCCACTTGGATGTATTCTGTCTCCAGCTTGTTTCCTTGAGTGACAGTGGGTCACAGCTTGATAATAAATCGGATTCACTTGCACTCATATTTTCTAATAAATTCTTCTTGATCTCAGCTCCTTTCAGAACACCCATCTTACTTGGAACATACAGGGAATTTCTAATGGATTTTGCATTTCTATTATTAAGTTTCATTGTGACGTAGCCTGCAATGTAACCAAGTTTTCCTCTGCTGCACTGTTCAGTTCTAAATTTGTAGATACTCGAGGACATGAACGTGGCATTTCCTTAGGCTCCCTGTCATGTATTAGCTCCAATAACATTGCCTTTGTAAACAATCTAAAACTATTTCTGAACTGAAGTCCGCACTCGAATAATATCTACACACACCTTCCACAGACTCTCGATACTCCTGAGATGACAAATGATTTTGGAAAGTCGTGTAAAATTTCCTAAAATCTGCAGCAGAAAATGTTGATTTTTCTTGTGGAAATATTTCTTTAGATAACCTGTCGATGGTTTCTTTGTTTCCGTTGAAAACTGACAAGAAGTGTTCTGGGTCGTTCTTAATTGCATTCACCGCAAGAGTTGCCTCGTACATGATAAGTGTATCTAAGTAATTCTTAATGACAGAATCCAGTATAAAATTTACAGTGTCACTCTGAATCTTTCTCTCTACAGTATCAATATGTCGAATCATCTCCAAGTCTGAAATTTCAATATCATCATCGAATCCTTCAGAATCAGTGTCTTATCAATCACCATCATCATCATCATCACTTTGGTAGCACCCCCTTTGTTACTAACGCCATCACCACCTTGGTCAACACCCCCTGTGTCACCATCATCACCTTGGTCACTACCACCATCACCAGGATCCTCATCACCATCAGGGACTCTGTATTCAGTTTTGCAACACTGAAGGTTAATTTGGATATTTCCTATTCCACAACGATTATAAAACTGGTGTACTTTCATGGGGTGCCCACTACATAAGGATGGCTTAAAGTTTTTGACAAAAAAACCATCAACTGATTTGACTCTGCCCACTGCCACACCAATCTGTCCAGGTATTGTTGCATTTTTACAATCAACAACAACATCATCCAAAGTCATTCCTTGGGATTTATGTATTGTCAGTGCATAGGCCAAGGTCAAGGGATACTGTATTCTCTTGGCTATTATCCTTCTTGAGACAGGATCAAACCTTGTAGAACAAATCTGGTGATCTTGATGGTTTTCAAAACCCCTGCAATATCAAAAGACAATACTAGTATATGTTTTCACCATCCAATCTCTGCACAGTTCCAATTTTACCATTAACTTAATTGTCACTGATATTTGTAACTAACATTACAGGACAGTTCAGTTTTAAGCCAAGTCTTTCTGATGCTAGGAACTTTTTCAAGTAATGTTTATCCCCTTCATCATATGAGTTGAAGATCTGTAGTTCTCCTGGTTTTCTCATAATTTTATTATAATCATAAAGTTGGACATCAATATTTCTGGCAAACAAGTAGGTGGCCATCTCCATTTGATCTGGTAGCAGAGGTCGATTAAGTGAGTTGATGAATGCAACTGTCTGTGGACCAGGTTCACCCTTTCTAATTCATTAACGGCATTAATTAAGTTTGAATTATCTTGTCTGTGTACTTCTACTAGCATGGGTCTATGCGAGAAGACTTCTAAAACCACTTCACCTCAAAGCAATACTTTCCGAAGTCGCCATATAGTTTATTTGGGACAAGAGGTAACTGGTAAAAATCACTTGAAAAGACTATATAGCCCTTTAAAATACTTACCACTGACACGTAAATGTCTACATACATATTCAATCTGTTGAAATAGCTTAGCACTCAACATAGAAACCTCGTCTATTATCAAACACTGTGAAGTTGTAATATTATTCTTTGCATGAGTGAAACGTTCATCATTTTTCAACAAATTCAGTAAATCTGTGTTTGAATGCCGGCCATCCTCCAACCCAGCCCACTTGTGTATTGTACAACACTCTCCACCAAGAACCAAAGCACCTAAACCAGTAGTTGAAGTAACCCACATTTCACCCCTGATTCATCATTTTTAGCTCTACTGGTCAGAGACCAGAAGAGCTTATGCGATAGTAAGGTGTCCGTCGTCCGTCCGTCTGTCTGTCTGTCCGTCTGTAAACAATTTTTCAAAACGCTACTCCTCCTACAGTTTTGGTCTGATTTCAATATAACTTGGCACACAAGTAGACTACACTAAGATACATAAAATAGTGCATCGGTTTTTGATTTCGATGAACGGTGTTGCTATGGTTACTAAAAATAGAATTTTCTTTGAAATTCCTTTAAAACGCTACTCCTCCTACAGTTTTGGTCTGATTTCAATATTACTTGGCACACAAGTAGACTACACTAAGATACATAAAATAGTGCATCGGTTTTTGATTTCGATGAAGGGTGTTGCCATGGTTACTAAAAATAGAATTTTCTTTGAAATTTCTTTAAAACGCTACTCCTCCTACAGTTTTGATTTGATTTCCATATTACTTGGCACACAAGTAGACTACACTAAGATACATAAAATAGTGCATCGGTTTTTGATTTCGATGAACGGTGTTGCCATGGTTACTAAAAATAGAATTTTCTTTGAAATTCCTTTAAAATGCTACTCCTCCTACAGTTTTGATTTGATTTCCATATTATTGGCACACAAGTAGACTATACTAAGATACATTAAATAGTGCATTGGTTTTTGATTTCGATGAACAGTGTTGCCATGGTTACTAATAATAGAATTTTCTTTGAAATTCCTTTAAAATGCTACTCCTCCTACAGTTTTGATTTGATTTCAATATTACCTGGCACACAAGTAGACTATACTAAGATACATTAAATGGTGCATCGGTTTTTGATTTCGTTGAACGGTGTTGCCATGGTTACTAAAAATAGAATTTTCTTTGAAATTCCTTTAAAATGCTCCTCCTTTTACAGTTTTGGTCTGATTTCAATATTACGTAACACACAAGTAGACTACACTAAGATACATAAAATAGTGCATTTGTTTTTTATTTTGATGAACGGTGTTGCCATGGTTGCTGAAAATAGAATTTTCTTTGAAATTTCTTTAAAACGCTACTCCTCCTACAGTTTTGATTTGATTTCAATATTACTTGGCACACAAGTAGACTATACTAAGATATATAAAATAGTGCATTGGATTTTACTTTCGATGAACGATGTTGCCATGGTTACTCAAAATTGAATTTTCTTTGAAATTCCTTCAAAACGCTAGTCATCCTACAGTTTTGGTCTGATGGCAATGGCTTCTTTTCTCATCCTTTGTTATAAGTACAAACCAGTAGAGCTACAGTCTCGACAGAGACTTCTGGTTTTTAAATTATTTCCATTAGAAAGAAAGATTTTCCTGTGCCACTCTGACCCACTATTATTACACTATGTCCATTTACGATGGCTTCATAAACTTCCCTCTGTCTATCATCCATTCTGTAAACACTGTCAACACTATTGACTTTTGCCGCGGAAAAAAAAATTCGGAATATCTCTTGGTTTTATATGCTTTTAACGACATTCGGGAAGCATCGAAAATTCCGGATCGCGTCATTTTCGGTTCAGGTTTTATAATCGTAGACCAGTTCCGGGCACATTAAGAGATTGGAGGAAAAAAAGTGTAGAAAACACATATAATCAGCATTATTTGCAAAGT